TGTTCTTCGAATGTGAGAAGATATTTTATTGAGCCCACCTCTCTGGGATAACTTCGCTAACCCGAAATCTGCAATCTTTGGATCAAAATTACTGTCTAGGAGTATATTTTCAGGCTTCACATCACAATGGATTACCCATTCTAGACACTCATGGTGAAGATACGCTAACCCCCTAGCTATCCCTATTGCAACTTTAAACCTCTCTTTCCATCCAAGAAAATTTGGGTGGAACAAGTGCTTATCCAATGACCTATTTTCAACAAACTCGGAGATCATTAGTCTCTGTTTATTTTCAGAACAAAATTCCCATGTTCTCACTAGGTTCATGTGATTAATTTTTCTAATTGTGCTCACTTCTGCCCAAAATACTTCTTCCGCTTGATAAATATATGCCAATTTCTTTACAGCTACCACTCTTTCATCTGCCAAAACACCCTTATATACATCCCCAGAAGCCCCTCTTCCCAGCTCTTCCTTGAAGTTTTCGGTTGCCTTCTTGAGCTCAGTGTAGAGATACATTCTATAGTGACTTGAAATCAAGTGTTATCTATCAACCAATGGAGCTGCCACACCATGCGATGTTCTGAAAAGTAACCACCAACCTGATAGTATGAAGAGAAATTCAACTACACCAAGTGCAGAAGCAAAATAGTACAGATATGCCCATCTCATCGTTTTACTAGGATTGTGATACATTGAAGAAGTACCTATTACCTTCAGCTCATTGTTCCGGCATGGATTAGAGACATTGATATTGATGAGCTGGGATGTTTCCACACTCTGAGGCAGCCTTAAGTATGTTGTGCCTCGGAAACTTGGAGACCAGTGCCCATTGAAGAGATCACCTTTTGTATAACACTTCTCTCCTATAGGTACATGCTTAACAACGGAAATCCTCCAAGCAGAGGTTTGAGCAATTTGTAATTGGAATTGATTCACTATAATTGAGATCATTTCCATAGAAATCTACATTTGGCATCTTCATGAATTTCCATTGCTGAGACTGAAAACGTCCCAGCTGAACTCAGGCTTCCAACCTTTGTTCCAGTTACTTGTATTAAATACCTCATAGCCAGCAGGGCGTGCACACTTGGGCTCTGGTGTATAGGCAAAAAATCCCATTTCTCCCACAGATCCCATACACCCTACACTGCCGTATCAGAGCTCGCCAGGTGATCACCCAAGATCCTGTGGAATTGAGGCTATGAAGTCTCAGATTTCCCTCATAATCCACTGTTAACAGCCTTTTCACCATCACACCCATGTCAAAAGCACTAAACCACAATTCATCACTGGATACAAAATTGCCCATTTCATCAAAAACAGCAATTCTGCTACTGTTGAAGTTTGTTCTACCATTCTGAGATACACTATTTAACGGTGTAGGCCAATAGACGCTTGACATTTCCGGACCATCATAAATCAACCTCAAAACATTGTCATTATCAAAATAGAAACTATAATAGCCAGTACCAAAGTTACCTCTTCCCAAACTAGATGTCACCTCTCTTTGTAAATGGTTGATTTGGGAGAAGAGTATCAGTGGGAAACTCAAAGCTTTGCCACAGAATTTTACCTTGCGGGTCTTTCAAAACAAGGTTTCCTGAATTTAGAAGCTCTGCCCTTTCAGCACCAGTGGGGGTGGAGTTGGTATTGCTCTCCCAGGCAATTGTGCCATCCACATCAGTCAAGATCATGGTGCCATCTCTACTGAAAGAGTGAAAGATAACAATAATCTATGTTTGAGCAACTTGAATTTTGCCGTTTGTATTCTATCATTTATATTATATTACAATGAGAAATAATATACAAATATCATCCACCAATCACGGTAGAGATCATTGAGTATGTTGGAGACACCATTGAGTATGTTGGAAAGATATTTTAAGTAGGCATTATGGCTTTGACCAGAGAATGTTGAGTGTCATCATTTCCCATCATTTTATCACGTGTGTTCTGTCTATCATCCCCCCGCAAGCTCAGCGGCCTAGGACGGATGAGCTAGTGTCATCATTTCCCATCATTTTATCACGTGTGTTCTGTCTATCATCTACTCAGTGAAACTCTGGATCCCAAAGCATTGACTGGTCTGTCTCTGTTAGCCATCGAAACAAGGGTTTTGTTTTTGGAATTTGTGAACCAAACGGAGAACCAGTAGGCTTTTGTGCCCACCCCATAAAACCCACATGTGAAAGACTTATCTAGTGAAGTTAAGAAATCATCTTCCAGAGAAAGAGAAGAGCCTCTTTCTAAACTGTTCTGGGTTTTTGCTGTTGCAAAATAAAAGAAAAATATAGTGATGACGGGAAGAATCAGAAAGAAAAAAAAAAGGGGGCAAATTTTGGAGATGCAACAGTTTGGCATGCCATTGTTGGATTTTAAGTTTGGTTGTATTGGTGAAGAGCACAAAGTCAATTAAGGGACTATATATAAGCCAATACCCAGTTCTGCCTCAAGTTTTAACCAAGAGTTTACTGAAGACTGAAGACTGAATAGGTCCAGAGGAGACTTCAATTTCCAGAATTTCTCTTCTTTCTTGGCTTCCAAGTCTAACCTGACTGACTGTCCCGCTCCCAATGTTAAGGACATAGGTTTGATGAACAACAGACTTCAATTTTCCAATTTTCCATTCAGGCTTGTTCTAATGGTTTTCTTGTCATGAAGGAAATTTCTGTCATTCTTACCATGGCTATAATATGAACACATGACACATTGAGAGATTAGAGCAATACTCTTGATCAATGACTTGGTGTACAAGTCAATGTTGCTCTAAGATTTTCATCTGAACAGTGTAAACCGTGTATCCTTCTCGTATAGTGTATGGCCTGAACCTGGATCAAGGTCAGGGCCTATACCTGATCTCCCAGTAGTAATGCCTTCTGGAGGAGATCTACACACTTCGAACAGTTATCAGAATAGGAGCAAACTGGGGTTTATCCCAGTTGAACCACCTCCGATGGTTAAGTCAGAAGTGGTTTGGAGATGGAGAAATTGATGTAGGGTTTGTAAGGTAAGAATATTTATTACCTCTGTCTTGATGTAGGTGAAATGTATTTATAGGGGGAGAAGGAGAGACAAAGATATTTAAGGAGGAAATATTTATCTCCCTTCCCACTGAATTACATTAAATGACTTGTCCTTATCACCATACCATCTGACAGGGATCATGTGGCAAAGCGACACTTGGCTTTGGATGGGAAGTACATTAACTAATCTCTTTCAATTGCCAGGCTGTTTATCATACGGATGGAGTGACTGACTTGACAGGGGTCTGATCATGCCTGTTGATCATCAATGCACCTTTGATTATACACGGCACCACAGTGGTCGGGTCGGTGTCCGAATGCCCGAGCACGGACCCACACTTTGTCCTGTCAGGTTTCAACTGGGAGGCCTTTTATCGACACCCTGGGCATCACATACGATCAGGCCGGTATAAGGGTAACCCAGCCATTCATGGCCACGTGGTGTTCTGTAATAGGCTCGGCTCACAGTGATGGTATGAGCCATTAACAAACATAAACAAAAAAAGCATCATATTATTACAATAGCTGGTAAAATAGTGCTTTCTTTGCGTTTAGCCTTTTAATTAATTAAAATCTTGATTTTCCCACATTATTCATTAGCATAATTATTTAAGGATTGTATGAGTGATAAAGATCAGTCAATCTGTCCCAACAAAAAGGTTGAGATAACTTAATCCAAGACAATTTAATTCAGTCTAGTCTAATTTTGAACAACAATGCAATCCAATCCTGCCCGCAGCCTGCAAACGAAGCCTTAGTTATTCTTCTTATACAATTGGGATTGGTGAAATCTGGTGCCTGACAGTTTGAAGAGTTAAATATGCTAGTGTGAGGGTCACTGCTGATTCTTGCATTCGCTAATGAACACTGCAAGCATGTTAGCGTTGGAAGATGCCGTCAGATTCAAACTGTGCCCCTTGATGAATCATGCTGCCCTGTGAATATATGATTGATTAAAACTAAACGATATGTTTGATTTTTTTTTTTTTAAATTTAGTCTGGAAATGTGTTCAAGGGGTATACCAAAGACATGAGCAGAGAAAGTAGTGCTGAGCTGTAAATTATAATGGTATTGATAATGGTAAATTAGAAGTGGGAGGAGAGAAACTCTTCTGTCATATTTGTCTTTAAGCGCAATGCACTAAAATTACTACAAGAAGTTATTGTTTCAGTCATCAGAACTCAAGTAATTTTTTTTTTTTTTTTCATACAAGACAAGCTTGCAGTAGTGTTCCTTACATGTAAGCCACTGCAACTTTTGGCTTTTCAGCCACAAATGTACTGAACAACACTGAACAATGATATGGTGAAGACTGAGAGGAGGAGATATCAATAATTGAACTTCCCCATTTTCCATTCAAGCTTGTTCTTATGGTTTTCTGGTTATGAAGGAAACGGACAAGTTAGGCTTATCATAACTAATGTTCTGCACTACTTTGACCAAAAAGGGTGAGATATTACCATGAATAACTAGAAGTTTTCTTAAAGGTGAATACTACATAACCCAATAATTTTCTCAATTGGTTTTTCTAACTGTAGTTTCATTCAACAAGTTCCGGTCATGAGATTTGAACTCAAGGCCTCCTCTTAAAAGATGGAGACTGGATACAACCTAAACAAATGGTTATTGGCAATGTCACATTTACTTGCTCTTACATTCCTACATATTAGGTCCTCTAATTATTCAAATCCTCCAAGACTCCAACTAAAGCCTGCTACTATGTTTTTGACTCCCTTGGGTTTATGGCTAATGGTGTCATATGAACTTGTATCTTAAGATCAACCTGTTTTGTTCGCAAAAAACAAACCAAAAACACTATATTATGTTTGATTTTTATCCAGAAACGTATTAAAGTGGTATACTAAATCAAACGCATTAGCAAAGAAAGCAGTGCTGAGCTATAATGACTTTTAATGATAAATTGCAAACAATAGAAACAAGCTTAAACTGAATACAGACTTGCAATAGAGTTCATTATAATCTATATTTTATTACTCATTTGCAGACGAATACACAATACAGTTCAAGTAAACATTTGTAATTCAAAAAGCAACATTACTTACAGCACACAGCTTAAATGCAATTACTACTGCATGTTGGATTCCTGTTCACAATCTAGCAACATCTGCACTACTGAATCCATTGTTGGTCTTTTGTTCCTATCTTCCTCTACACAGGAAATACCAATCTCAACCATCTTTGCTGCTTGGTTCCTGCCGAACTGCCCTTCCAATCTTGGATCCAACATATCCTCTATCCATTCATCTTCCCCACATTGAATTTTCCTTTTGGCTATCCTGACAAACCTCTTCATCTCTGCTTCTTCCTCCTCAGCATTCTCCACCACCCGATTCGAAAGTCGAATGCCCTTCACTATCTCTAGAAGCACTACACCATAACTGTAAACATCCACTTTTGCAGTGATTGAAAGGTTCATAGCCCACTCCGGGGCCATATACCCTTTTGTTCCTCGAATGTGAGAGGACACTGCATTGAGGCCGCCTCTCTGGAATAACTTTGCCAGCCCGAAATCTGCAATCTTTGGTTCAAAATTACTGTCTAGGAGTATATTTTCAGGCTTCACATCACAATGGATAACCCATTCTAGACACTCATGGTGAAGATAGGCTAAACCTTTAGCTATCCCTATTGCAATTTTGAACCTCACTTTCCATCCAAGAAAATTTGGGGGAAACAAGTGCTTATCCAACGATCCATTTTCAACATATTCAGAGATTAGAAGTCTGTGTTTACCTTCAGAACAGAATCCCCATGTTCTCACTAGGTTCATGTGATTGATTTTTCCAATTGTGCTGACTTCTGCCCAAAATACTTCTTCCGCTTGATAAATATCTGCCAATGCCTTGACAGCTACCACTCTTTCATCTGCCAGAACACCCTTATATACAGTCCCAGAACCCCCTCTTCCCAGTTCTTCCTTGAAGTTTCTGGTTGCTTTCTTCAGCTCAGCATAGAGATACATTCTAAAGTTACTTGAAATCAAGCGATATTTATCTACCAAGGGAGCTGCCACACCTTGTGATCTTCTGAAAAGAAACCACCAACCTGATAATATGAAGAGAAATTCAACAGCACCGATTGCAGCAGCAAAAGAATACAGATATACCCATCTCACCCTTTTACTGGGATTGTCATACATTGAAGAAGTACCTATTTTAACAGCATTAGTCCTGCATGAATTAAATACAGTGAGATTGGCCGCTGGTGATGTTTCCATACTCAGAGGCTCAGGCAGCCTTAAGTATAGACTGCCCTCGATAGTTGGAGACCTGAGCCCACTGAAGAGAGCACCTTTTGTGTAACACTTCTGTCCCCTATAGACAAATGCTTCACAACGGCAATCCTCGACACAGAGTTGTGTGCAATTCTGAATGGAAGTGGATTCACTGTAATTGAGTGAATCTGCTTGAATTTCACTCTCTGGGACTGAGAGCATGTAGGCTTGAACTTAGGCTTGCAACCCTTGTTCCAGTTACTTGTATCCACTAACTCATAGCCAGGAAGGCATGAGCACTTGAGCTCTGGTGTATAAACACAAATCCCATTTCTCCCACAGATCCCATGCACCCTACACTGCTGTACAAGAGCTTGCCAGGTGATCACCCATGATCCTGTCGAGTTTAGACTATAAAGCCTCAGGTTTCCATCATAATCCGTTGTCAACCTCCGTTTCACCCTTGCACCCATGTCAGAAGCACTGAATATCAAGTCATCACTGGATACAAAATTACCCATTTCATCAAAAACAGCAATTCTACTACTATTGTAGTCTGTTCTACCATTCTGATATACACTCAAACCAGGCCCAGGCCAATACACACTTGATATGTCGGGACCATCATAAATCAACCTCAAAACATTGTCATTATCAAAATAGAAACTAAAATAGCCAGTACCAAAGTTGCCTCTTCCCAAACTAGATGTCAGCTTCATGGTCTTTGTAAAGGGTTGATTTGGGAGGAGAGTATCAGTGGGAAAATCAAAGCTTTGCCAGAGAATTTTACCTAGTGGGTTTTTCAAAACAAGGTTGCCAGAATTCATAAGCTCCGCCCTTTCAGCACCAGTGGGAGTTGAGTTGGTGCTGCTCTCCCAGACAATTTTGCCGTCCACATCAGTCAAGACCATGGTGCCATCTCGACTCAGTGAGACTCTGGACCCCAAAGCATTGACTGGTCTGTCTCTGTTAGCCATCCAAACAAGGGTCTTGTTCTCGGAATTTGTGAACCAAATGGAGAACCAGTAGGCATTTGTGCCCACCCCATAGAACCCACATGTAAAAGACTCATCTGGGGAAGTTAGGAAACCAGAATCATCTTCAACTGAAAAAGAAGAACCTCTTTTTAAACTCTTCTGGGTTTTTGCTGTTGCAAAACAACAACAAAATACAGTGATGACCAGAAGAATAAGAAAGCAGGGAAATTTTGGAGATGACGCAGTTTGGTGGTATGCCATTTTTGGAGGTTCAACTTTGGTGAGCACAAGTTAAAAGGGACTATAAATAAGCCTTGTCTAGTTTGGTCCAAAATTCAATCTTTCAGATTTTTTTGATTATGTTATCATTCTCTGCATGCCTTTTGCTTTATATGTATAATATATATATATATATATGAATGAAGGAAATGCTTGTTATTCAACCACACGACTTATTGAAAGCGTATAACATTAGCATTACGCTTGTTGGTTTATATATATATAGATTAATTAAGGACATGCTTTTTTGTTATTCAACCACGACTGTGATATGAACACATGTCTTATAGAAAGCGTATAGCATTAGCATTACGCTTGATATTATTAGAAACCAAGGTCGCCATCGCTAAATTGAGAGAGTTGGGCCACAGAGCCCATCAAACCAACTACACATTTCTTTCCCAGAAGTAAGCAAATTGGACGGCCAGATGAGCCACTTATTTTGACTTTGATGATAACAAAACGAAAAGGGTCATCTCCTCCAACCACACCCACTCTTAACACTCGCACTGCAACTCTGTGCTCAATGACTATTGCTTGTATTCAATCTCTTTGTAAAGCCCCCACCTTTCTTCTCCCTTCAACTTTTCTGGGCTCCTCTTATTTCTTGCAGAGTCCCCAAGCATACCCATTTCCAAGAAACAGAGACTCCAAGCGTTACATAGACAGAAGGGTTGGCAATAAAAAAGCAAGAGGTGGGATTGTCTGTGGGGTGCTATTTCCAATTGACCCATGGGCACCCAGCATTGATTCCCAGAGCATAGCTTCACAGCTCTTTGCAGCTTCCTTGTTTCCCTATCTTGGTTTCTTGTACTTCATCACCAAATCCAAGTCTGCCCCAAAGCTCACCCTTTTTGGGTTCTACTTCTTGCTAGCTTTTGTGGGGGCCACCAGTGAGTTTTTCCACTTGTTTTCATTCTATTACCTTTCTACTTTTTTATGGTCTCCTGGGTTTTTGATGTCCTTTTAGTTTGCCTTAATTTAGCATTGTTAAGCTCTCCAAGTGGTTGCAAATTGATATGTAAACCATAGACTCCTTCTACATTCCATTGTATTAATTTATTACGTATGGCCAATCACATGAAGGCATAAAAGGAAAATGGAAGTAGACTTAGTCAGTGGCCTAAACTTATGCATGTCTTATGCTTTTGTACCATTTGTCCTTGGACAGTGCTTATTGTTTTGTCATATTTCTTTCCTTTGGGCGGCTGGAAGATTTATTTATATAGCTTTATGATAGGCTTCTAGTGTCTTTGAAATCCAAAAGACAATGCTTGTTGTGGGTATATCTAGAAAATTCTGGTGTAGTCATATAGTTCAATGGCCCCTGCAAACATTCACTCTAGTTTTGTAAAATGTTACCTGATTGTTTTGTTTCTTATTGAAATTGGGCTGCTTTTGTAAATTGTTTACTGTCAACTGCTGTGTTTTCAACTCTATTAACATCCTTCTTTTTTGTTCTTTGCTTTCCTCTCATCTACTGAGCAGTCCCTGCTGGAATTTATGGTAAGTTTTCACTGTTTGAGAATGTTGTACACTTCATATCAGTTCATCAACTGATGCCTTATGGTGCTCTGGTTATGTGGCTGAACAGCAAAGGTGAAATATGGCACTTCATTGGCGAATGTCGATTGGTTACATGGTGGGGCTGAGGCACTTCTCACTCTAACCAACATATTCATTGTGTTGGGGTTAAGAGGAGCCCTCAGAAAAGCTGAAGATGCAAAAGCAAGAACATCAACTCCTATTTCAGGGTTGAAGGAGGAGAAGAAAACTTCTGTTTAGGTGCAGCAGACAGATTTTGCTCTGGGTTCTTTCATATTGCGTTTTATTTCTATGTTAGATTTTAGGTCCTTAACTCTTTTTCTTCTGCTTTGTTACAACCCACTATTGCCTATGCCTAATATCTCTGCGGTCATGTTTTCCCCTGTTCTCCTGAGAAGCCATAGTCTCTCATTTACTGTATGTAAAGTCGCAACATTTCTGTTGTTTTTTCAGCTGAGTCTTGAAATGTTGGGTAATTGTCCAGTCTAGAGTCATATATATTGTTTATATTCCTTTTCTATATCTCTGTGTTTCTGTTATGTGTTATTTAAACAAGAACATGACCTCCCAGTTCGAATCTATAAGTTTGTTTATTTATTGAGAGCAATGTTGTAGGATCTTCACTTATCCTATTTGGTTATAAGATGTGTTTGTATGGAACTTCTGCTTTATTCTGAACAAATATGGGCCTCAATTGGAGTTAAAAGGTAAAAAATATTATTTGAAAACTATAATATAATCAATTCTATCCATCGGCAAACATCAGAAAAAAGCTCTCATCTTTTACTAGCATTCCTCCTCTCTTATAATACATGGTTGATTCAAGGTGTGAAACAAGCTAGTAGCAACCTGGATGCTACTTATTCTTATTCTCAAACTAAAGTAGAATTATGAGAAAATTCCTGTGGTGTCAAATGGGAAATTGGGCTCAATTTCCACTGGCTCCAGTGGAAAATCCATGTCTGGAATTGGAGAATTGGTTGACGAATTGTTGGCTGAGATGATCTCAGTAAGATCACATTCTGAAAGTTGCTCGTTTCCTGCAATGTTTCTCATCTGGCTTGGTGGCATCAAATAGTAGTTTGATTCTACTGCGGCTGGAGATAGCAATGAATGATTGAAGTTGTCAAAGAAAGTGTTGTTATCATCAAGCATTGAAGATAGAAAGGCATCATCAGCCATCATACATCCAAATGAAGTTGAAGTGAAAGAGAATGGAGATGCCATGTTCTCTCTGTCTTCCAAGAACTTGGTATCGACTCTCAGATTAGTCGGAAAGCTCATTTGGTTTCCTTGAGACTGCTGTTGGTGAGAAGTATTATTTTGATTGGTTCGTTTTTGTTCTTGCTGTTCTGGTGATAGTGGTGGTAGAACTGAATTGCTACCGTGAGAACATGTATGCTTTCCTTTGTATGTGATTTCGAATATCGTGGGGTCTTCATCTGATCTTTGCACTTGCTTTGTAGCATAACAGCTTTGCGTGTTTCGGTAGGTGCATCTGTAATAGCTTCTGTAAATTTAAACAAAATTGGTCATCAGAATGTTCATAACGAAGTGAAATTTCTATGATGCAGAAGACTGCTATGTTTCCCGTTTGTGGGTCAATCTCAAAAGACAAAGCTTTGTGCGCGTGCGTGTAAAAGGTAAAGTACTATGAGTTGCTTTTTGAAAGGTGGCATCGGTGACTGTTACTGCAAATGATTGGATGGTTGAATGGATTCGCTTATAGGATTTTACAAAAGGATAAGATTAATAAAAAAGGCACTTAGTTACCTTGGATGTTTGGCTCCTAGGATGTCTTTCTGTCCATATTTTCTCCAGCTATGGCCATCTTCATGAGGTCCTTCAATCCCATTCTCAAAGCTAACTCTCATTACATGGTCTGTCCATTTGGCCATGATCTTTCTGCAATATGCAAAATCAAATTAGCATTTGATTTCTTGGCATCATATTCGCTACGTTTATGACTTAATGAATAATCTAAGCTCACCTCTTCTTGGAGACATCTGTGAGTTCCTGATGATCCTTGGGACTCTTGTTATAGTCATCAAAACAAGGACCTGCGTTGGCTGACACGAGAGACTCTGGCACACCGGCTATTGCACCTGCAGTACTTTGAGCCGGCCCACTGAAGTTCAGTATCAAAAGGGCTTTCTCATAGGAGGACAATATCCTCTGCACTAAAAATTGTCTGGTGTCTGATGAAGATGCTGCACTTAGACTTAGCCTCAACTGTTTTGCTAGCTCCATCCCTTCAATGATCTCAGTTAGCAGTGACTTGTGCTCCCAGCTCTTACTAGAATCCATTTCTTCAATTCTATGTATCAATTTATATGTCTCAATTGGAACTGTGAGCAATATAAGATGCAGAGCTTAAGTACTACTTCGCGTCCGGCAGAAGAACATGCATTGCCTGCATCAGCACACCTTCACCACATTGGCTATATATGATTGGTTATCAAGGAGCAAAGTCCTCCCACTTAAATCCCAGAAAGAGTAGAAGCGAAGGGGATTTGGAAGTTTCAATTTGTTTCAAGTAAGAAGCTGTACACATGGAATTAGTATCCAGAATTTTGAAGATTCTCTAAATGGTGTGTGCAGAAAGAGAAGAAAGTAGAGTAGTGAAGCTGCAGAAACCAAGAGAGTGAGAGACTTGGATTTAAAGGAGAAAGTGGAGAAGCTATATATATACATGTAGAGGTGACCAATTTGAATGGAGAAGAAAATGAAGTGGAGTTTGGAGAGTAGAAAGTTGAAGTTTGACTGAGAAACCGAGTTATTCAGCTCTGACTGGTCTTTGGTCATGCATATAGAAAAAAAATTCTAAGCTGACCATTTCCACTTCTTCTAATTCTGTGAATCTTTAACTTGTAAAAAGGGTCCCTCTCTCTCTCTCTCTCTCTCTCTCTCTCTCTGAGATGGCAACAGGGGCGGATTGAGGCCGAATATGTCATTACCATCCCCAGGGACCCACATAAACGGATCTGATAATTATTTAATTTAATTTTTTTCCTTAATAAAATTATTAAAAATTGTAATTTAGTACGTATATAAAGTGCAATGACACATAAAATGCGACATATAATCATACAATTACACTATTAAAATTAAAATGCAAACACGAACTAAAACTTAATTTTGAAAACCAACTAGAAAAATACATGCACATGTATAAGCTTATACGGATAACGGGGTGGGGGTGTTCGTCGGGGAAAATTGTCATTCCTACCCTCTCTCCCCCTCTCTCCTCTCTTTGTGATTTGTAGTTGGTGGGATTTTTTTATATATATTTATTTTGGATTGCATGATTGAAATTTAGAAAGGTGCTTACTAGGAATTTTCAAACCATGTTCCGCGTTATTATCCATTTCTCCCAGTAGTAGAGTAGTAGAGTATTGAAATTGAATCAAAGAGTGCATGACGTGGCCCACACTTGTTAGATTCTGAATTTTTTTTGTTTTGTTTTGTTTTGCTTGGTTATCTAGAACATCATCTTTCATATCAGATGTCTTCTCTGCAGCCGCGTTTTTGTGGAATAAAAACAGAAGTGAAAAATTATTTGGTATTTGTTTAATAACTGGTCAAAAGGTCTTGAAGAACTTGGACAGTCTTACGGCCTCAATCTGAATTTGGATCCCTGTGACGGGTTTGTTGACCATGATTCATATGGTTGTTGCATCCTTTGTTTACTGTACCTAAAACTATGTATTCTTCTATGCACAACTAATATATTCATTGTATCCAAAATTGGAAATGTATTATAAGTAGGGTGAATTCAATACATCGCGCTAACATGTCACGTGACATATCAATTGTATATGGTCGATTTTGAAATGTGACAATATTACCGGAATTTGTAGATTCTTTTTATTAAGAACAAACACACACAAAAGAAAGAAATTAATTGGAAATTGAAATGTGTTGGACAAAAAGAGAAATTAGAAACCAAATTCGTATATAGCTTGTACAATATTCAAGCACAAAAGAATAATCTCTAAACCAAAAGGGAAAAAGAAAACAATAGACTTCACTTTTAGTAAACGGGAAGGCAAGCTAATGAATGTCTTTCCAAGATATGCATGCTCCTTTCTTTTCTAGGCAAACGTCTTGCTATGTCTCATGATCCAGAACCTCTCTGCTTCTTCTGGTCTTCGACCCGGAATCCGACCAGCAATCAAATGCCACCTGTTGTTATTAGTTCATCCGACAGTACATATTAAATCACGAACCCTATTTATTAAAATTCAAATTGAGTAAGGATCGAAAAAAGTATAACATGCTAGATTGTCTGGCAAGGGAACAATCTCCTTTGTCTCTAAGATGTGGAAATGATGATAGAATTCATGCATGGTTATTATATGCTCAATTTATTTGGTGACAAGTTAAATCTTCATATCCTCATCCGCAGTCATCTTTATGAACTCCCATTCCATGCTGCTCACTTCTGAATATCAAAACATGAAAATTAACCATGACACTGAATATAAATACACACACACATATATATATATATATATATATATATATATATCTCTCTCTCTCTCTCTAAATATAGCAAGTTTCAAATAAAATTATTTCGGTGATCCGTCAATAGAATGACACTATATATGTATATATAAAGGTAATTTAATTACAATGTCCATAATATTCGTTTGTTGCTTGGAATGCCTGGTGCAACTGACCCAAATTCATCATTTTTGTTGGTTGATTTGAAGTTATCATCATTACTCCATTTGACTTCTTGGTTTTTCTAATTTAATTTCGTCAACTTTAAAACAAGTGCGTGTATTCATTTGAGTCCAACATTTATTGTAAATATACGGTAATACTAAAAATTTTAGAATCCAGATTTGCGAATCTCTTGTTGGAAGTTTTGTCAAGTTGAGTGGAAAAAATCGATTGATTATTATTTCAACTTAAACAGGCAATTGCAAGCTGTTTGTGTGTAGGTACAAAAATTGAACAATTGAAATTGACGTCCAAGCTACCTCTATGTAGGGGATATATATATATATATATATACAGTCTCTTTTTATTGAGGTATCCCTCAAATTATTTGAGGAACACTCTTTAGGATATCCTACGAATTTTATTTTCAACGATCCAAATCATCTATTTTTTAAGTATGCATTCATAGATCATCCTTGCAAAAAATTAGACAAATCGGAAACCGTTTTGATATCCAATTGTATCCTACAAAATTAATGAACACGGTGTTTCAAGAAAATACTAAAATTTCAATAACACAATTGAGTGGTCAAACGATATTGGATTCGAGTATTTTTTATAGAGATGATTTTTGAATGATTATTTAAAACATAAATGATTTAGATTAATGAAATACAATGCGGAGTGGACCCTACAAAGGTGTCTCTCAATTAAGCTAATACCACTCATTGTATAACCCAATCCAACCTATGTGAGACGGAGTCGTCCCAGGTCCCCATCCAGCGAGAGCCACATGGGATTTAGTCCCAGCTGGACCAATGACAGCTACGTTAGCCTCCACACAATCCATACACTAACACTACGATTATATATACGACATGTTGTTTTGTTTGAGTTCTGTCGTAGGATTTTCTCAAAAACATACTATATTTTTGTGGCAAAGATCACATAGCTACCGTACCTTTCTATGCTCATTTCTATTCCGACTAAGTTAAAATTATAGGCTTTTTATTTTCATTTTTTGTAGACCTTTTTTTTATTGAGATGGACGATAATATACTAAACTCATATACATTACACGAATGCTAAGACTTGAACCCAACACCTTTCCTGCTAGTGAGTAATCTGCAGGGTAGGTTAGATTTAGTTTTATAATAAATCATGTATTTGTTAACCAATTGGAATATATTCAATGGTCCATACGTATAGCGACACATAGCTATTATCATGCCTGAAGTGGCTTTCGCCCTCTCTTCGCATCTGGACTCAATTATAATAAAAAGCTTAAAACCTATAAAGATGTGCTCAAGATATTTGATCCAAATGATGTTTTTTTTAATCAAAAGACATGATAACTGCTTTAGCATTTCTCTATATTAAATATTATATTGTACGAGGATGGAGGAAAGTATAGGAGCATCACTTTGAAAATCATGTATTTGTTAACCAATTGGAATATATTCAATGGTCCATACGTATAGCGACACATAGCTATTATCAGGCCTGAAGTGGCTTTCGCCCCTTCTTCGCCTCTGGACTCATTTATAATAAAAAGCTTAAAACCTATAAAGATGTGCTCAAGATATTTGATCCAAATGATGTTTTTTTTAATCAAAATACATGATAACTGCTTTAGCATTTCTCTATATTAAATATTATATTGTACGAGGATGGAGGAAAGTATAGGAGCATCACTTTGACGTGAACATTTACGATTAAAAATTAGTTTGGAACTTATTCAGTGGCTGAGGTGGATAAAGAAAAGCCATAACAATTTTTTTTTTTCCAGCTCAAGGAATAAATAAAGGTTTGCATATATATGATATTTTCAATTTTGCATGCCATAATGTAAAAGCAGATTCCAAGATTGATATGTATGTAAATGCAAAAGGAAAAAAGCAATCCCACTAACTACTTGATCGCCTATATAAGAGATCTAACCAAACAGCCTTCCAGCACCAAGAGAGCTCAAGAACACTTAGCTACTAAAAAAAAAACCTTTTTCAATCTCCTTTGTGAGTTAACTAAAATGGCCTCAACGCAATGCCACAACAAGCCAGCAGCCAAGGAGGGCTCATTGGGCCAGAAGGTTTCTGAGATTGCTGGCTTTCTGAGAGGAGGTCACCATGGAGAATACAACAGCAGCATCAGCCACACTACTAGCACCCAATATTGCTTGGCCACCCCAGCAACTAATGGGCAGCATGGGCTGAACCAGCACCATGCAACTACTGGCTTGACACGCCATGGAACCAAGAAGAGGGGTGAGCGCAAGAACAAGAAGACAGGTGGCAGCCGAAATCTCCTTCAGAAGATCAAGGATGGCATTTCTGGCCATAGCAGCGAGAGCAGCAGCAGCAGCAGCAGCGACAGCGAAAATGAAGGCTGCCAAAAGAAGGCAAGTGATTTAAGTGTATATCAATAACATAGGGAAATACTGCAAAACTAACTAATTGTGGGTTTAAGTATGTTTATTATATTGTCAGACCGTGAATGTGTTAGGTTTTTGCGGATGTTCTTGATGCACGTTAATGATGTGTTTATAATGTACATTTGTGTGGATTTTGCAGAACTAAATGGAACAGATGTGGGAGATCAGCATCAACTAAATATCAGGGACAGTATATATATGATAACTGAAGTACAAGTATATAATAAGTGTAAAATGCAATAATGGCCTTACTGGCTTCTGATCTCTCACCACTTGGTTATCTATATATAATACAAGTGAAAATATATATGTATATGTATATGTATATGTCTCTGCCTCTGGCTCTCAAAATAAAGTTATTTTCGTGTGATATATTGATGCTTCATCCAGTAAACATTCCCGAAATTGTGTGGCTCGGTGGAAAACAACATGAGAAGAACGATGATAGAACAATATATGCATCGTCCTTGCAATAATATACGCCATGTCATGTGATAGATTTTTGCCATTAATAACTTGAAACAAATGAATGTTCGGATCAATCACAAGTTACCGACATGATGCAGGCACATGGCAGTCATTGATTGGTGTAGGTCCCCAAGGTAGCTAGGTTTCTCACCAAATCAGGCCATTCGAAGAGAAAGTCGCATCTCATCACAATGAAGTTAAGGGTGGATGGTGAGAATAAAAAGCAAGTTACATATACTGAATTTATAATACCTTGGAAATTCACGGTACTTTAACGACTATAGATTAAATATCGATAATGTATCAAGCACTGTAACGTTTATGAGTAGTCATGTTTTTTTATAAGAGCTAAAAAACTATCTGACAAAACATTCCACTCTAGCTCACTGCTTTTGAGCACCAAGCAACCACAATAAAGCTTGAGAAAAACTAGATGCAAGTAATCAGTAACAGCAAAATAATTTCCTTAGTTGCCAAGGCCTGAGTCCGATGTTGCAAACCCTTCAATGCGGAGCCAGAAAAATATTATGCCAGACATGTAGTTGAATTCGGCGTCAACTATTGAGAAAGTAATTGTTGGGTTAAACTCCAATGTCAGAAACTTTTCATGCTAGTACTTCTCGCAACGGATGGGTTAAAATTCAACAGCAGATACAAAATAAGCTAAATAAATCAGATGATGAAAGTATATATAAGAGAGAGAAGGATGAAGAGAGAATTCAATATTTTTTGAAAAGGAAATATGAGATGGCATCATGAAATATTAATTCTTGATGTATAAATCACGTTGTGATAACTTATAAGTAGTTAATAACGTCTATTTCGAAACAAAGTCAGGGTTCGAATCAGATCTCATTTTTCTTTCTTGTAATTTAAAAAAATATATATAAACGATTGTCTAAACTACTGGAGTTTGAACCTAAAACCACTAATCTGCAGCTCGGTGCCCTCTTCTACCGGACTAGACCTCGTTAGCATCCTCCTTGTAATTTTTTTATGAACAAGAAAAAGAAAAGAAGAGGAAAGAAAAACTGAGATGCCCTAGTTATGAAAAGTGACCGAAAAAATAAGTTAATAATTAGATAAAAGGATCTCCATGGTGGAAAAAGGAAAACAAGAAGAAAAAAATTGTGACAAGTGAAGCCGAATCTAATTTATCTTGTCCCTTCTATTGATGTATCGAAGGACTACACATCCGGGAATTTCAAAAGAGAGCATTGGACCATCGGTAACGTGTTGCATTTTCACTCTGATCAAATTCCAATCTCCACTTATTCCTTTTCCTTTTGTTTTTGCGGAGTCCATTTTCTTCAATATGCCAAGCGCAAAACTATTGGAAATAAAATATAAGCGTTTTTTACATAATCCATTTGTCACACAAATATCTTTATTTTTTGTTAAAACTATGCTACCGCCAATTGCGCATAGAAAGATGTTGCAGAAGTAGTAAAGCTAATAACTCTTCAGCAAATAATAGACGGATAAACCAATAGCATAATAAAGTTGCAGATTGACAGTACAAAAACAGCATGAGAAGTTTGCATCACAAAACACAGCAAGCAGCTGATGACACAAAAACAGCATGAGAACAGAATCCATAGACAACATGATACAACCCTTGATTTACATGGAAACTTTTCTTTGCAATATAAAGTGTCACCTTTCTCCAAGAGACCCTGACAAAAAGGATGCAATGGCCTGAAGAGCGAGATCTTCAGCTTCGTCTTGCGTTAACCCAGTGGTTTGCAGATGCTTCTTTCCAATCTTGAAGGAGTGGTCACCACCATCAATCACATGCAAACCACTAGGGCATTTCATCTTCTTGCGTGTAACTTCTAGCTTTTCCAATGGACAGAGCGCATCTTTACTACCCTTCATGAAACATAATTGTAGCATACAACAAGACACTTGTTAGAGAGAGAAAACTTAAGAAAGGCATTGTTATCTAACTGTAATAGGAACTTCATTCAGCGATGATAATATATAGAAAGAAAATGAAAACCTCAGTTTGGTCATTCTATAAGAAGTGGTACAAGAGAGCTGAAGATTTATAAACCCAAAACATTAAACTAAATATTTTATATTGAATCTATACAGTGCAGTAGTTTGCAATTGATGACCAGGAGGCACTAAGAAAAATAAAAAGAAAACCTGATTCTAGAGAAAAAGAAATACCTGTACTAGCATTATGGGAACAGAAAGTTGCAAAAGTGTTTCATCTCGCACTGCTCCATTAATTCCCTGAAATTTAAGATACCCAGATCAGACACAATCGGTGTCATATTTACATAGTTCGGAGAAGTGCAATGGGGAAGGGGAACACTCGTAGGTCACAACATCAATTGCTAAGGTTCCAATGAAATGCAGAATTTCTTCTTCAAAGAATACAGATAATTTTGTCTCAACTATTTTCACCTTCTAGTTTCTGTTATTGAAGATTTACTGCACGATGATTTCATGCCAATAACCCAAAAGAAAGAAGGAAAAAACAAAAACAACAAAAAAATAAAGTACATAATGTGCACAAATGAGATGTGGGGATAACAGCAGAACTCAGACCTTTAGTGGGTATCCTAAGCAAACTATTGCTGAAGCACAAATGCCTTCCTTGCAAGCTACCATACAGCTGACCCTAAAGACAAATGAAATCCAAAAATCATAAAAAGAAAGCACAAATGATAAGTAGCAAAGAAATTCATTTATCATTAACATGTTAGAGTACTAAAATGAAATTCAAATTTAAACATATACAAGGGAAACACAGCAGAGCTTCATGAATTGTCCATATTTCTAGACTTGAGCACTGCAGCCAATATAAGATGCATACACTACACAATTGTTCACCCAAAATAAAGCTCTACAGAGATCAATAAACATCTTTCAAAAGGGTATCTCCAGCATTACTTGATTGCATAGATACTACCTTCTACTAATAGAATTTTAGGCTACAGCAAGTAATCTTCAGTAGAAAGTAGAAGGATTATAACCTTGAACCCATAGATTTCCCGGCCAAAATCAACGGATGACCCGGGTACTTAGCAACAGTCTTTTCGACAACATCGGCGTGAAAGTCGACCAACTTTTCAGCCTTCGGAGGGGCCCTCCTTTTCCCACCCGAAATGTCTACCAAGCATCAAACTTTAAGATGATACAAAAGAGATAACAAACTCCATGTATAACCCAAAGCACCATATGTACCCAGTAAACTGAGATTTTAGCAAAATACAAATGAACTTACATGGGTAATCAAAGGTAACAACTTCAACGGCATGTAGTGCTTTTCCCAACATATCCTTCCACCTAAATAAAACTCACAAAGCTTTAAGCTTTTTACTTCAACATTTCTTTTCCACTATTTCAAAAAATAAAGAGAAGAGAGACCTGATCATCCAGTCAGAAGAAGAGGGAGCACCAGCACCATGAGCAAAGACCACCACAGGGGATAATTTCTCCAGTGTGGGTGAAGATGTTGCTGACACGTCGTTTGCATCGTCTTTGCTCTGGTCCTTACGCCTGCGTTTTGAAGGAGGTGATGAAGCCATTCCCAGTCAAAGAACCCTTTGAATGATTCCCAATTTTCAACCTGATCGAAACCCTAGATATCAGCCCTGAACTGATTTTCGCGCCAAATGTTGGGAAAGACGAAGACCCGACTAAAAGAATGTGCCGCGCGCCACTCGGCACCACCTTGCATAGGGGTTGGGCTTTTAAATCAATAAATTGGATTGGGTTTAGGCTGAGTAAGGCCCAATTTGGTTAAATCCTGAAATTATCTATTTTTACAATGCAATATTTTAAATTACTTTGATTTATGGGAAGGGGATTCAAACCCAGTGCAAGGGTTACATTACCTTGACTAATTAAGCTAACTCACATCTTCATAGCCTGAAATATCAAGACTATTCTTTAAGGTTTGGTCTTTTTATATTCTTTTTAATTCCTCGAATCCATACATACCGAAGAGCAAATTTCAAAATCTTTTTCAAGTATTATATATATTGATTAAATCATTTGAGCATTTAGAAGCCCCTCGAACACAAGCGATGGTATTCTGTTTGGTGTGAGGCGATAATGAGGACTTATAATGAGGGGGTCCTTAATAGCCGTTTGATTAATGTTATTATTAAACGGCTAGATTGGATCCTTCAACATAATCTCCCAACATAGACCCTCGTTATAGAAGCTCCCGTGAGTTTTGACAGTCTCAAAAATTATCTCAAAAGTTGCCTTAAAACCAAATTTAGAAAATTGAGAAGTTCCATGAAGACTCAAGTTTGCGGCAAAGCTCAAGTTCACATGCCCCATCATCATGGCGCAATATCCTTGAAAAAGAAGCAAAGAACCCAATTTCATCCTTGAACAAATATGATAGGTCATTGTCCACTATGACATCTGATGGAAACAATGTTCTCTGCCCCTAGTTTCTTGTCACAATACATTGCAGTCGGTGGTATCTATCTGTCATCACTAGCTATAGCACAAAAAGCATTTTGCCACATGCTGAATGCTTTAGAAAACTGTGGCTGATCATCCAAGCAACTCATCATCCAATTGAGATATGCCATTGGCTGTGAAGATAGAAAGCAAAAGCTAGATTATACTACAAGCTGGGATGGGAGGAATGTCAAACAGGAATTGAATTTATATCTGCATTGACCTCAATTATGAATAAGATCAAAGATAACCTTGAGAGATGCCTATGAGAACCAAATCTACTTTAATTTTATTCTTTTGCTTAAAGATAAGCCTAATTGCCTTGCCAAGGTTCTTAAGAGCCAACCCCCTTTTGCTTATGACCACAAAAACTTCAACTTGTACAAATTTGATTGGTCAGAAAAATTTGGGAAATCCACCTTGGATTGGTGCATTTGCTGATCACTACTTTTATTTAGTTACATTATTAAAATGGGATTATGGATATGTAGACCCCCACATAACCTAGTGCTTCGTTTTTGTCTTTTTGTGGCCTTAAGAGCTCTATAAATGGGCTTCTAAGCCAATGCTTTCTTCAACAAATAAGAGCAAAGCCAATGAACAAGGAGTTGAATTGAATCTTATAACAAGGCATTGATTGCTCACTCTCCCTCAAGGGCTTCTCAGCTTAAGGCAATGATCCAAGGTCCTTAGTTTTAAGGGACACCTTGGTATGTTTTAGGCTATGAAGCTCGTTGGGGGGGAATGACCAATCTTTTGCCTTAACTTGTAGCAGGGAGTGCAAGGCATTTTCTACGGATCAAAACCCCAAGGCATTTTCATTGCTCACTCTCCCTCAAGGGCTTCTAGCAATGTCAGAAATGGCGAGCTTGAAGCCGTTGGGGAGAGTGCACAAAAAGTGTCTTGATTTATTATATGGCAAACCACATTTGATG